ATATATATGTATGTGTCTGTGCGTGTGTATTTGTGTGTATAAGTACATATATATAGGCAAACAAAAGTATATGCAATTGGTATTGTTGCCAACCATTAATTTTACAATATCGAGGGCTATATTCCCTGTACTTCAACAAAGAACTGTAGTACGAGACATGCATCACAACTACAATGCAGGTGGTACCGGCGCACAGGTTGCACAATCACATGCGATTGGAACGTTCTGATGTTTAAAAAAAACTAAGTTCACAAAAAAAAATTGTTTGCAGAACACTAATACATCTTTATTTCGGTTGACAAGGATTATGTTTGATGTAGGTTCCAGAGCACTCTATTTTTTACTTGTGAATATTCTTAGATGCCCCGCTCGCATTCGTGCAAAATTCGCGATAGTGTGACCGATATTTGAATACATGAAGGCGGCAGCGCGAACACGGAGGGCTATATGCGAATGTATACACATTTAAAAAAGAATACATCAGGTATTTATATTATATGCTTTGTAAATTCATACATACATATTTCCATTTTTTATTTTAATTTTAATAGCAAATATATGGTCTTGTTTTATTGTATATTTGTCAAAACACGGCAATTTGACCCAAAATAGAGTCCGGCTGGCTTGCGCTCTGCGGCCTCCTCGTTCCCTTTCTCTCCATTAGAATTTCAAATTTGGGTGCCCTCCAGGTCCAGGCACCAATAATTGTTTTGGTGCGGACCTTAATTTTAATATTTTTGTTCAGCCAAAGCCCAAAGTGTCGTTTCACAATCCGGGACGTTTGGTGCGATGGCCGATGAATTGGCTATAACACTCGATCCAAACCCTAAAAACTCGAAGTTTTTGACCACCCGGCCTCAAGACCTTTCGATCCCAAAAATGGCGAAGTCAAAATTTTATATATTTTAGCTCCATCATGAACTGCCAAAAGCAACCATTCATTTTGGAATAATTTGAACGTTTTGCATTTTTTTTGGGTGAAAATCAGGATGGACGGATCTTTGGTTCCTTTAGGGTCGTTCTTTAATCTTTTGTTAAAAAAAATTTACCAATTTTTACAGTTGCACAGAGCCCTGACTGGCTGACTCCCCTGAGGGCTGAGGGCCTGAGGGCCTGAGACTCTGAGAGTCACAGTCTCAATTCTCACAGTTTTTGATTCTTTTGCTATATATAAACAACACATAAAAACAAAACAACAATCAGTAAAATTCACAGTGTCATGCTCTGCTCTAAATATCTCGCTCCTGGATTCGGATGAGCCAGAGTCAAAAGAGCAGGAACACCCACAGTCCAAACCCCAGGGCTCAGGCGGTCAGGTCACAAGTCCCAGGCCCCTCTAGTAGTAGATTAGCCCCCATACCTGAGTCTCAGGTGAGCCCGATTCCCGAGAGCCTGAGAGCCCGTCGTCCGAGAGCCCGAGACTACGGCTGTATAAAAGTGTAAAACCCGAAATGTCCTATTTACATAATGTCGTCACAATGTATGACATATTGGTGTTTGCCTTTTAGCATAAGTATCAACTCTCACTCGCTAGAGTAGAGTAGTCAGCTATGTATTGTCGTTTCCAGATGTTTTGACTATCTACCCGTGCTTAACAGGGGTAGGAAGTCTGGCATCCGGGCTGAAAAGTAGCTGAATATATGGTATCGGGAGGTACTTTGTCAAAACATCTGGAAACGACAGTACCAACTTAGCCAAGTACCAACACAACAAGAAGAGTTAGCCAACCGTTGAAGTGAACCAAGTATCAACCCATAGAAAAAAATGGAAGAAAAAATATCTGAGGAAAGAGTAGATACAGAGTAAAAATACATTATATGAAACGACATAGATTTCAAAGCGCATATGTATTTAAAAAAGAGCTCTACATCTAGAAAAAACAACCGCGCATATAAAGTTCAGGTGCACACGCTCTGTTGTGTCTTATGGTCCGAGCCTCTGATGAGTCTCTGACTCTCAGCCTCTGAGGCTATACTACTAGAGAGTAGTCCTGAGGCCATGAACCCTGAGGGCGGCCTGAGTTTCAATTCATACCTAAAGTAAAAACTAATAGCCATTTTTTATTTATTTAAATAAAATTAATAGAGCATAAAAAATCAGAGTTACACAAAATATACACGTTATCGACTCTCATATCACTGATAAAAATTTATTAGTAAATATACTGATATCAAAATGTACCGATGTAATTACGTTTTACTGAGTTGGTTTTGTTTTTGTGAAAACATAAAACATCGCATCAAATATCTGAAAGACTGAAACTCGCCCCGTTGTCGCGAACTCTCGCAGAGGAAGATTTGGTGGTGGAGAGGAGCCGAAGGGCGAAGAGGTGCGCTGTTGTGACCCGTGATCCGTGGTTGGGGGGGGGGGGGGGGGGAGGACTGGAGAGGGAGGGGGGGGGGTGTCAAACCATATTGTTTTGATTTAAATTCGTTTTTTGTTTTAAAACAAAAAACAAAACAAAACCGAAAGAAACCACGATTTTCTTCTCGAATGCCATAGAGGTGAGGTTGTTTATATTCAAATTTTGCTATTGTTATGAGTTTGCACAAGCAATAAATAGGCCAAGTTGGCATATAAATAGGAAGTAAAAGAATTACAACGGCTGAAGATCGATTTAAGTTAGATACTCTTATCATAACATTTATTTTACAGATGGACGACTTCAGCGAGAGCAGCTCGAACGAATCAGTCAGTGCACAATGTGTTGGTGATACGGGGAGGCAATCTTTCGCGCCTTCGTTACTACCGGTATCGAACCTTGCCCTTCCCATGGGAGAGCATTTCGAAAACCTTTTCACGTCTGGTTTTCGCTGTCGTAATACGAACAACGTCAACATCTCACCACATCAGGATCGATACCTTTTGGCACCGGAACATACGGGTAAAAGTGTTTCAGCCAGGCAGTATTCAATTCATCACAGAGACCACACTACACATGTTGGTAAAGTAGCTCCTTACCCGAATAGTCAACCGCAAATGCCAACACGACATACTGGCAGAGCCAAAACATCGTACTGGTCAGATTCAAAAAGTTTTGATACAAACACATTCACAAACAGCTGTAAAGAAAGTCGTCCTCAGTCGAGAGAGGATGTGCGCAGCGTAACCAATGACTGGTTGCATACAGCGCAAAGACCACAGATACCACAAACTGATTACACCCAGAACATAACTCTGCACATGCAGGACGTCGAACTATGGCAAAAATATAACAAGCTGGGCACAGAAATGATAATTTCCTCAACTAAAAGTCGTAGGATGTTTCCCTCCATACGATTCAATGTGCAAGGTTTAGATCCTCGGCAACACTACTTTCTGTGGCTACATTTTTCATCTCCTGACTCACCTGACGAACAATGGAAGTGGCGTTCGGAATCGCAATCTTGGGAAGTGCAGAAGAAGAAGGACAAGCGCAAAAACAATACCCCAGAAACAAACGACACAAACGCAAATTTCGAAATATACAATCACCCGTGGGGTGCCGCACCGGGCTCAAGATGGATGGAATTGCCTGTGAATCTTGAGGACTTGCGACTTACTAGCGAGCCTAGTAATACGACTGATGTTAGACTGATGCCTTTCAAGATGTACATTCCTGTGGTGTACATCGCTCCTGCAATGTTTGACGCCAGAAGTCAACAACACAAAATGCTTCCAATGCAAGCGACATACTTCAGACTAGAGATGCAGCAATTTATTTGTTCATCTGCATATCATAATCCTAAAATGACCATTCTTAAGTGTCATACGAACCCTAAGGCACGCTTTCGCAAAATAAATTGATATCGATGACAGTAATAATCTAGATATCATATAAATATGTGAACTTGCGGTAATGAAGACTAAGTACGCGATATATATAT